GCACATTTATTCCAGGATGGAGGAGAGGGGGGGCCGCCCCCAGAGAAGTTGGAAGCTGGAGGGCCTGCTAGTTATTACGTCCTGGGCTGGGCCCTAGGTTGCTCACGCTGACCTTACCAGTCCCGTGTGCTGGTGATTAACTCTAATTCTCACAAAGTCAAAGCTTACACAGAGTGGGTACCAAAGCCCCGAGCCCAAGGACAGAATCCAAGGCTCTCCCTCAGGATGCTAACGGAGATTTTCTCTCTCATGGCACAGAGAAGCCTCCGGAGGACAGCAATCACTCTCTCTCAGCAAAGGCCTGGTGCACTCAGACACCTGGCCTGCATCTTGTTTTAGCTCTGTCTCTGTGCACTCACTGTCTCCTTCCACCCATCCTTCTAAGGAGAATGTCTGGACTAAGAACGAAGTCCAAGGGCCCCTAACAAACTACGGAGGAAAGGGCCCCAAGGCACTAGTCACTATTGTGTACACTCCCACGGCCGGTATGGCAGGACGGGGGTCTGCCTACTGGATGACAACAAAAAACAAAAAATTCCCACCAGTTCTGCCTTAAGGCACAAGCCAATGGTGGCGGCAGTGGGGGAAGTGGCATGAAAGATCACGTTAGGCTCTTTCTTTCTTTTTTTTTTTTTGGGTCAAATCTCCAGTACTTCTGATGACAAAGGAAAATCTGTGTGAGCTGAGTTCAGTGCCCTCTTCCCGCCAGCAATGCACAGAATAGCAAGCTCCACGGAGGGCCCTTCACAGCACAGCACTCACAGGAGGTTTCTGAGCCTGATGGCCGCACCTGGCAGCCTTCAGTCAGTTGAGAGGGTGAAGGCTCAAGCCAGACCCAGTCCCAACTCTCAGATCCATCAGGACCCAAGAACTCAGAAACATCTGGGGTTGCCAGGAATTAGCAGTACGGGAGAGCAATTAGAGGTCAGTATAGGGGAGTGGGTCTGCTCTTCACACTGCTTATCTGTGGGTACAGGCCAAGCAAGCGCCAGTCTGCAGCAGGGTGCCCTGTTCGTGGCAGCCTTACTCATCTCTCTCCTGGGACAACAGTGTGTCCACCTGCTCTCGTGGTGGCAGCTTCTTCGCTCTCCCTTTTCTTTCTGTCTGAGGCTCCAGGCACCTGTCCCCAGGCCTGGGTGCAGGCCATCTTCCCGGCCCCACATGTACCAGCTCAGAATGACCAGAGCCAGCATGACACAGTGTTGGGGGTGCCTCCCATCAGGGCTACCTCTGCCTGAGCCCACTTACCAATGTGAAAGGAAGACAGGAGGGAAAACCAGTGGGAGAGTCCATGGCTCCACTCACTGGGGGTGACAACAACTGAGTCTTCCTGTAGAAATGGAATGAGTCTTTCAATGGGTGGGGGCGGGGAGGAGGAGGATGAAGGACAAGGAGAAGGGGTGCCTGACTCTCCACATCCCACGGCACAATCTGGTCCCTAGAAAAGGCAGGTAAGCCCTGGCCTGTGCTACTCAAGGCGGAGACAAGCGCTCCCCTCCCCTGGCTGCCTTCTGTCTGCTCCAAGACCACTGCAAAAAGAGCTCACACTCTGGGCCTACCACCGGCACCAATGCGGCTACCAGCTCCTGGGGCGCTCTGAGAACAGCGACCCCTGAAGGTGAGCAATGTACCAAGATGCTTGGGGGTAAAAAGGGGCGGGAAGAATGAAAGGAAAAGAAAATTTGTTCTCATAATTTTTAGACCAGAAATGGGTTGGCTCATCATGTGTGGTCCAGCGGGGAAAGCGTTGCTCACATGTGGTCCGAGGAGACTGCTCCTCAGGACACTCTACCAACACTGGCTGGTTGGAAACCGAGGCTCTGGGCCCTCGGCAACCCTTCCAGCCACCACCCACCCTTGTGACCTGAGGATGCTGTCCCATGGAGAGAACAGGGCCTCCCTGTCATCCTCTGCAGGTGCCACCCGGAGGCCCTGTTCTCTCTCCTCTTCCTCCCCTGAAGCAGCATACAAATGCTGTGGGGACACAATGGGGTCCTCTGGGACAAACCATCACAGAACCTCAGGGTCTGCGTCTGTTCAGTGCCATTGCCTATTGGGGTGCGGGAAGGTGTCCTGTCACCCCCAGAAGATCAGCTCACCTGCAGAGCACAACACACACAACCATTAACACTTACAAAGCTACCTTAAAAGTGGAGATTTTCCCAGGAAAGAGAAGTCATTTCAGGAGGCTCTGCAGAGAGACAGACCTAGGTGTGAATCCCAGCCCCTGCTGCTTCCCAGTGGGTTGAGCATCTCTCAGTTTCCTTGCTTGTTAAACAAGGTAACTCCTACTTAACCCTACAGAGTTCTTGGGTGGATTGAAGGACTACTTTGAAGACTTTCAGTGATAACTGGGAAATGCTCAAGATACCATGCCGATCCAGACCCCACAGAACGCGTTACATCTATGACTGACTGTGTGCCACTATGTACGTGAACCAGCGAGACAGAGAGAGAAATAAATGGGGGAGGAGAGTCAGTTCTTCCCCAGGTCCCACCCAAAAAGGCAACAAATGTTGGCACGTCTGAATCACTTAGGAAATCATGACCCAAACATTTAAGTCCGCAAGAAACCAAAACCACCCTTGTTCTGATCCTCGGAGAATCCAAGAGCTGCCTCGCCTCAGAGACGCCCTCACAAGCAGCCCTCTGCCTGACCAGGCATGGCTGGCCCTGTCCAGACATCAGACCTAAGCTCCAGCCTCACCTCCGGGCGAGGCCCTGGTGGCTCCCCTCAGAGCAGCAAGCCGCTCCCGACCTCATCACCCATCACGGCACGCGCTCGTTTACACTGCCGTCATTCCACGGCGGAGGCACCAAGAGGGCAGGGACTTGGTCTGCCACGTCCAAGGCCGCACCCCCAGAACTCAGTGAGCCCCTGGTTTGTGGCAAGCATTCAAAGGATGGCCAAGTAAATGAATAAATTTTGGGCTTTGGACTTGGATAAGGATGGCTTCATATCCCAGTTCAACTACTTACTGGCTAAGTGAACTTGGGCGAGTTATTCCACCTCTGAATCTGTCAACTCATTTGTAAAAGGGGGATAATCCTCTCCCACAGCCTGTTTTGAAGATTAAATTAGAAGGGAAGGCAGTGGGGCAGTCGACACAGCCTGTGTGGCCCCCGGCTGCTAAGTGCTGTCACCATCCCTGCTAGTTACTATCAGTATCACCACTGCAATATGGAACTGATTCCACTTGGGAATTCCTGTCTAAGAGCTGGATACGTTTCTTGCCACATGGCTGGATAAAAGACGACAGTAAAAAACTATTACAAATCAATTATGAGATATAAGTCAATTGCTCAGCACTGCTGGAGTGAGACCTATTCTACAATAGGGCAAAGTTCTAGATGAGAGGGGCTCTTTAAACATGGAAATTCAAAATGTAACCATAAAAATAAAAAATCTGTAGAAATTTCAGGCAAATACGGACTCAAATGCTAACTCTCCTTTGCCATTATGTCCTGTGGTGAGTCACTGAGCCCCTCAGAATCTCAGTCTCCTCAACTGTAAAAAAAAGGGAGTATCTTCCCCAAAGGTTCTTGTAAAGATTGAGGAAAATGTATATAAAATGCCGCATGTGACAGCGGCACATAAGATGAAGCTGAATCACACAGCCATGCTTTCAGGGGTGACCAGAACGCTCAGGGCCAGCTGTTCATGGCTGTCTCAGAGCTGGGGTCTGCTACGCCCTTCATCTCCTGAGGCTGTTGGTGGTGTGTCTGTGTGTCAGGCTGAGATGTGTCACTTTTCCTCCAAAACCAGCCTCTAAAGGAAATTCTTTATTGGATGCTTTATACCAAATCTGCTGTGAACTGGAAGACCACTCCAACTGTCCACAGAACAGAGACCTGACATTCCTACACGAAGTATAACACCCCCAACTTTTTGACAACGGTTTCAGCAGTTCAGATACACTGTTTCTCTCACTTCCATTTTCTTGCCGATATCCTATGTCAGGGTGAGCAAACTACAGACTGAGGGCCATATACCTCAAGGCCCAAGAGGTGGTCCTCATATTTTAAAGGGTAATACATATTAAAAAGGAAAAAACAAGGGCACAACAAGAGACTAATGTGGCCTGCAAAACCAAAAATATTTACTATTTGGCCTTTCACAGAAACATCTGCCAATCCCTCTCTTAAATGACTGAATTTGTACTGAAGTAGAATTGCATGTTTTACAGTTTTGTTTTATTTTCAGCACAGAATTTAAAATAACTTTCTACTGATTAAGAAAAAAATTCTTCAGAGGATAACTTTCTCTGTAGCCTTTTGTTGACACACGGATCGATTACACGGCCATGCCTTTTGGTGGTATGGTGGAAGGCAGGATTGGATAGGAGCAGAGAGGGGAGGTGGGAATCTGAGCAGACCCAGCAAAATACTTTCCAAGGCAGAGGCAGAGCCCCAAACAACTCAGGAACCAGGGAGGACTGTCAGCTCAGAGGGGGGCTGCCAAAGTCCCAATGCGTAGAGGCCTCAACTGATCAGGAAGCAGGGCTCTCTGGCTCCAGTAAGAATTGGGCTGGGACACACGCTACATGGCAGAAAACATGTCAGGTGGAGACAGACAGACCTGAGTTTCCTTCTTGGCTCTGCCTCTTGCCTTGGACAAACTCCTTAATCTAAGCCTCAATTTCTTCATCTGGAAAGTGGAGATTAAAACAGTGATCACTGTTTGTGAGGGTTTGAGATGATGTGCAGAAAATCTCTGGCACTATGTCCTGTATGTGGTAGGCGCTTTCCCAATGGCAGCACTATGACGAAGCATGAAGTGGACTAACGCGCAGGTAAGTCCGTGTAAGATGTCATTCTAGTATCGTGTCATCTAGCTGACACCAGTGCCCAGCATCCTGCCATGGGTGCTCCAAATTTTAGTTAGTTAGGCGAGCCAGGTAACAGGTTCAAGGGAGACTGCTTGGCTTGGTCACACTCACTGATTATTTACTTATCAGAATCATTAGAACGAGAAAGTACAAAGGTAATAAGCAACTCACAGGTCTCGATACTGGTCAAAGGCATTATTGGCTTCCACTTCCAGCTTTCTGAGCCGAGCAGAAGGCATGGCCCCATCTTCCAAAGGAGGGTCGTATTTGTTACTCCATGGTGACCTGGAAGGCAGGAAGGAAAAGGAAACAATGTGAATTGTTCCAGGGACACCTGGGCCTGTGAGCCACGAGCCCATGCATTAAACTTCAGAGGCAAAGCCAGTACCCACAGAGAAGATTTTTCCAAGCCCTGGCAATGAACAAGGCTTTCTTGAGGTTTGCAGAGCAAGGGCTCAGAAGCAGACAGACCTGGGTATGAACCCTGCATTCCACCTCGCACCAGCGAGTGTCCTGACTTCTCTGGGCCTCATTTTCCTTGTGTAAAATGAGGATACTATTTGCTACACACAGGGCTGTTGTGAGGAGCAAAGGGCAAAATTAATTGACCAGAGACTAGACCAAAGCCTGGTATGTAATAAGTGCTCAAAAATGTGATTCTGCAAACTCTTTTTCTAATTTTCTTTTGTTTTCTTCACTGTATTGATCAACAGATGCCCCTCTCTCCTCCCTGACCTGTTGGCAGCTATAAACTTTTACTCCAAAGACCTTCTTACACAATTAAGGATTAAGAAGAGAGCTGTCACTTACGGAAGCAAGTGAGAGACTCAGCCTCTGGGAAACACTGATTACATGCACGTAAGAAAACCTGAGATCAAGTTTTCCACATGAACAGAGGACAGCTTTCCCAACATCCAAGGACCATGCCTACATATAGACTGCTAAGTAATGAGAACCAGCCTCTCTTTTTCTAGTCCAAAGACTTGCTGCATTTTTTAAAATGTATTTTGCCACATCAGGAAAGCATTTAATCAGAGAGAGTGCTGGAAAGGGGGCTTTAAGGCAAAAATCTACTCATTAATTCCTGCAGGTGGGGTTCACAGAGATGGAGGTTCAGATAAAGAGAATTAAAGAGGTGAGAAAGGAATCAAAGGGAGGAGAAGACAACATGGGATTTAGGCAAAGGCTTTACACTCTTGGGCAGAAACGTCTCACTGTTTCTACAGTGGGACACTCATGTTGCTTCTCTCCTGTTTCCCCTACTGACAACAAACCTTCCATCACTAAGGACCCAAAAGAACCTTTTGATATGGCATTGATATTAAGGTAAAAAGAGATCACTGCCTTCTGAACCCCAGTTATAAAAGACTCTGTGCAAACATGTTTCCTCTTGGTAACCAGTGCCCCACCAGGCACACACATCAACAAATCACAAGTGTGGAACCAGAGTAACCTGGGTGACCTGTTCTCTGAGCCGCCTTCAGACAGAGAGGTCCCAGCTTTCTTGGCTGGTGGTCTATAAAAGATGAGTGGGGGAAGAGCAGCGGTGCTTGGTGCCCCCAAAGGGTCTCCAGGCAGCACACACCTGCCCTGACCACCTCTAAGCAGAAAGGACCTTTGAAGGCCTATCTTCCCAGGCCAACTGTTCCACCCCATTCACCACACTGTTGGAAGAGATTCTGTAAGTTTAGGGTGAAATACTCCTTTCTGCCCTGTGACCACCAGCTGGCTCTTGTGGTCACACTAGATGGTGCAAACAACATAGGAGAGGGTCAGCCAACATGCCAGGACTTCCTCTGGCCTGGAGTGCAGGTGTGAAACGGACACTGGGCACACTAGTGTCCTTCCCAAAAGGCCCCCTCCCTTCCTGAGCACGACTGATGCTAATGCATCCTTTACTGTTCTTGTGACATGTCTTAGTCATCCCTCAAAATAGCACTGCCTGACAGAACTTTGCATGGTGACGGAAATGTTCTCCATCTGTGTTGTCCAAAACACCACCACTAGCTTCACGTGTCTACTGAACACTTGAAATGTGGCAAGTGTGACTAAGGGACTAAATTTTTATTTGTATTTGATTCCAATTAATTTAGGCAGCCAACTCTAGAATCTAAGTTCCAAGAGGGCAAGATTTTTTGTCCTGCTCTCCACTGTTTGCTCAGCATCTAGAACTGTGTCTGGCACAATCATGCGCTCATTAAAGGAAAAATGTTAAAGTGAGCACCCCCACCCCATCCCCTCACTCCCTACAGATGTCATTCCTATCCTTCCCTTGCCCTAGAATTCAAGAGCTCTTCAAGAATCTGTGCCATTTGCCTTCACACCCCGGGATCGAGCAGGCAGAAAGTGCTGGGGGCAGGCCGAAGCCCTCCAGCAAGGCCCCAGGAATTCTGCTGGTGGTCCACCAAACTAACAAGGGATGGTGCAACTTGTTTTTTATGCTGACGGATACCCAAGCATTAAAAAAACAAAGGCTGCTCAGCAAATCCAGAGACAAAGAGGCAGCTGAAGCACACAGTCACCACACTTTTTGTAAATTAGGCTCAGTACCTCTACTCACCAGAGGGAAGGAAAAGCATGTGAGAATCCAAATTCCCTCCTCCCACTGCATGTCCCCTTTGAGACTCTCCTCAGCACACTCCGAGGTCTGACCTTCACTTCACTTCCCCAGTTAAATGGCCATCGCTTTCCCGTGGTCCTAGAAGACCCAACTCCAATGGGCTTTCATTTAAAGGCAACCCGGTTAGACACAAGAGCCCATCTCTCTTACAGACTGGGGCCTGGGATTTTCAGGAAGCCTGTAACTCACATTTCTCCTGGCTCACAGACGACAGCATTTCAAGCCCTTAGCCCTGGAGCCAGGTAATTGTAGCCAGGGGAAAAATCATAACATTACCCAGAATATTCTTAGTGGAAGGGCCACTCAGAACACATTTAAAAGCTTAAATGGGGGCCATTTGAAAAAAGACAGATGGACAGGAACGCTTAGATTTCAAAAGTCAGGCCTTTCATTTCCCTCAGAGAATGCTTTTTGTTTCAGCTAACAGGTTTCAAGCAGTGCTGCTGGCAACAGTCGCACCATAAGGATCTTATTTAAGCAAATGATCAAACACAGTTAGGATGGAAATGTGTGGAGAAAATCAGAAAACCTTGAAGTTTTATATCGAGAGGGGGTAAAATGAAAGAGAAGTCCTGTGCCCTGACACCTGGGCTCCTCCTTGGCGAAGCCCCCAGGCCCCTCTGTGGTGACACAGCAGGGGCTGCAGGTACTAAGTCCCCAGGGAAGCCTGGCCTTAGCATGAATGTAGAAATGATCCCAGGCACCTCCTTCCTTCCCGCCAGGCTACTGAAGAGCCGCTGCCTTACACAGCAAGCTGGAGTTTTCAGGTAGAAAAAAGAAATATTATGATGACATTGAGTGGGCAAGACTCAGCTCAAGGACCATCTATTCCAGGTCTCCTCTGGACCGTGTGCCTGCTGAGGCCTCTTGTTCTTCAGCAATCTGTCTCTGGAACCATTGAGCAGCCTCATGGACATCCCTCCCCATGAGGGCCAGAGCTAGACCTCGGCCCCCAACCTGCACAGTGACTGGCCCTTCAAGGCCGACCTTGATCTACCTCAGGGCTGCCTCACCACGTCGATGCTGGGACTCCCACATCTGTACGTCTACCCCCACCCAGACCTTGCTGCTCCTGGAACTCCAGACTGCTTCACAGCCTACCTGACATATTCACTTCCATCTGACAGGCACCTTGAGCCTAAAATCCCCCAGACCAGCTCCTCCCTCAATGCATGGTGACCCCCACCTTCTAGCTGCTTAGACCCAGAGCGCTGCACTCACCCTTCACCACTCCCTCTTCCCGTTCCCCACTCAACCCACCTGCAAATGCTGCCAGTCCTATTCTTACAACTTACATCTAGTCTGACACCCTCACCAGCTCCCCTCTGGTCTGTGGCCTGGATTAGGTGAAAAGACATTCTTTACCTAACTTCTTTCAGAAGCCAGCAAAGGATATGATTATAACATAATTGTCTAGTCTCCTTAAAAAGTCAGTATTAATTAAATCTTTGTGACTAACATCAAGCTCTACACTATTCAGCACTCAGCAAGTGTTACTTCATTTAAACCCCAGTAACTCTCTGCTACATTCTCACCCTGGCCCTCAAAACCCTGCCACACACTGCCCTCATCTCCCACCCTGGTTCTGCCTTATACCACTTTGTTCTTCTCACCTGATCCTGACCAGCTCATCTCTACCCAGGCCTTTACACCCAGAATGCTCTTCTCCCAGATCTGTGCATGACCAAACATTTCATCCTTAAGTCTCATTTCCAGTGTTACCTATAATGGAGGAGCCTTCCTTATCTATCCATCCCACCTCTCCCTCCCCTGTCCTCTTTTTTTCTTTTGTCACATTATTTATGCATTTGTTTGCTATCTGGCTTCCTCACTAGGATGTAAAGTCCATGGAAGAGGGACTTAGAATACTGCCTGACATATATAATACATGCTTATAAAGAGATGTTACTGAGCATTCTAGTGAAAGACTAAATACTATCATTTCCATCTTACACATGAGAAAACTGAAGACCAGAGATAATAAGCAAACTCCCCATTGCTACAGGGGGTAATGCTGGTGTGGAGCCAATGCTGGCTGACTCCAAATATTTCTTTCTGTTTCAATTTCTCAGATCCGAACCCCTACCCCAAAAGAGCATTAGGCTGAAGCTTTAAGACTCCGCCCAAGTTCAGTCTGTGGCCTCTAAATCAAACCTAAAATAGACTGTGTTCCTCCACCATTCTCCAGGCACTGACAACAACAATTCATCACAGAAATATCAGACTGGTTTAGGGACTCCCAATCTTTTTTAATAGGAAGAACTCCTAGATACCCTTAAAAACCTAGCTTAACAATTAGCATGTATAATGTGCTGGGGAGGGGGGGGGCGCACACAGGGAGGGCTGTACAACACAGAGAAGACAAGTAGTGATTCTACAGCATCTTATTACGCTGATGGACAGTGACTGCAATGGGGTATGTGGGGGGAACTTGGTGATGGGGGGAGTCTAGTAAACATAATGTTCCTCATGTAATTGTACATTAATATACCAAAAAAAAAATGAGCTCAGATTATCACCTCCTTCAGGAAGTCCTCCTGGAGTCAATCCTGAATAAGCTTGGTGCTGGCTGCACAAATCACATCATACAGTCATCAGCTGCTGGCTGTCTACTGTTCTAGACCAGTGATCACTCAGGACAGGGACAGATGTCAGTTTAGTTATGTTTAGCTCTTAGCTTGGTGATGGGAAGACAGTTGCATATTTGTTTGACAGAGCTTCGTTTAAATGTGCCTTAACTAGGCAGGCCCTCCCTGAGCTCAGAATCTCCATAATGTGCACATCCTATACCTTGCCATTTGTAGGATTTAATGCATTATTATAATGAATGTTCTTGGTTTGTAACGGCATCTCTCCCCTGTTAGACTACAGGTGGAGAGAGAGGTGGAAGGGAGAGAGAGAGGGAGACAGAGGGGGAGATAGAAAGAGGTGGGAGAGAGAAAGCGGGGAGAGGAGGAGAGGGGGAAGAGGGGAAAACAAATGGAAAGGCGGCTGTCAGCCTGTCCAAGCTCAGTGTCTTCCTGCTGCTGCAGGTGGGAACGGCCTGGGGTGCAGCCTGGCTCTGACTGCTGCACTCTGGGGCAGCAGCTCACCTATAGGAGTCCCCATCTCTGTTGTAGTCACACAAAAGGTAATCCTTTCCCACAACCTTGTCTCTGGCGATTTTCAGTGGCTGGTCAACAGAAGACAGGAGATCTTCACATAGACTGGGGACCTGGCAGAAAGAAAGGAAAAGGCAGAAACAGGCGTTAAAATAACACATCAAATCCAGGTTGGCCAATGACTACTACAGCCATATTATGGTCAGCATGTTAACATCTGGCCCTTGGTACCCTGCCAGAGTTATGGGTCTGTTTTTTTCTTTTCCACATATGTCTGACACCAATTGTGTCCCTCTATAAAGAAACCTTGTCTTGAATTACAGTGGAGCGTGATTTCCAATACAGCTTTCCTTCCAAATCTGCGTGCAGCTTTAATTACCTGGTCACCAGGGTGGTCTAGTACATTTAAGTATGTATGCTTGGTATTGGTCTCTGGTGGGCAAAGTATAAGCCGAAGTCCTGAGAAGAAGGTAAACATTCTAAATATGCCAGAATCCAAAGAACTCTGAAAAGAACCTGTCTGTGCTGGAGAACTCCCGCAGGCTCTCATGCTGGGTGCAGTTTGCAGTAGTTTCCAGGCCCCTGGCCAAGCATTACCAGGTTGGCTCATAGAGTCAACCCTACCTGCTACACAGGTCGCTTCGTACCGGCTTCCCACAGACTGAGCTCCGGCTCGCTCAGTGGGTCATGTTGATCCACCCAGGAGCCACCTCACTGAGGTGGCTCAGTCCATGATCTGGGGCAGGCAAGGCTGAACCCCAGGTCAAGTGCTGCTGAAGCTGACACGGGGCCCTGCTAGCAACCAGACCACTGGCCTTTTCCTCCCAACTCAAAGACCAATTTCCACCAAAATATGTCAGGAAGGGATGGCAGCACTTTCAGAAATGGACTCTTCCAGGCTTGAGTCACTTCCATGCTATATTTTCAACATGCTGACTTACTCATTTCAGGGGCCTGGTTTATGGAGGCCCCACTGTATTGTTTACCAGACAAGTGGCTGCCAACTGCACCAATAACCCTTCCAAATGGAAAAGTCCAATCATGTGGCAAAGACACCCAGAAGACCAGCTCAGCAGAGGGGCTGACAGACAGCGGTTCCCATGTTCCTCCAGGAGATTCTTAACACCAACAGAAGGACAGGGAACACTGGCACTTCAGAGGCCACCCAGCCTTCACAGGCTCCTTAAAGCCCCTCTGCTGACCCCTGAGGTGCTTCAGAACTCAGCTTGTATGGCACTGTCTGGCACAACTTTAAGATGGCTAGTTTACACACATTCTGGCCTCTGTGAAATCATCTGCTTCTGTATACATGGAGCAGCATGAGTCTCCTAGCCCCCAGGAGATGCCCACCATTAAATCCTGTAAACACATGTTTATTTCCAGAATTTCTTTTCCATGCAACACCCACCTATATGTCCCCCTCCCCAAATAATCACACAAACAAAAACAAGGCTGTTGTCAACATTAGCTTTGCTGATTATAATATCAACCCACACCATTTCCAAGTGCCTGCCATGTATTATGCACTTTGCTCGGTGCTTTATGTGTGGCATATTGTCTACTTGAAAGCTTATACTCATCCTGTAAAGTAGGTATGTATTATCCCCATTTTACAGATTAGAGAATTGAGGCCCAGAGTCATTAAGTTGCCCAAGTCCCACACAAGAAGCAAGTATAGATAGAATCCCCCCCACAACTATAACCTTGGTTTAATAGTCAACTAAGACGAAGGACAGTGCATGCCAAAGGCACATTCTGATGTCCTCACCCCTGCTCAGCTATGGATGGCCACAGAGCCTGGAAGAAAATCCTGGCCAAGGCTAGATTTTAACAGCTTCCACCCAAGGCACCTGCAATTTGGAAGTGGTCTTGCTTTCCTGCTGCTAGCCTACTGAAATGACCCTGAGCACCCAGGGGCCTGCCTTTCCCTAAGTGTCACTATTCTGTTAGGCTGCTGCCTTAACTTACCTGTTGGGCCCTGACTTTTGCCTAGAACCCCATTCTAACTGGGTGGGGCCCTGACACCATTGGCCCAATTTATCCTGGATTATGGCAGAGATTAATTAAGCAAACAGACTCTGAAATGAGACTTCACTACTTTCCCCAGTCTAGTACTTACTGTCCTTATGATCTTGAACAAGTTGTTTCTACTTCTCAAACTAAGATTCAATTTCCTCACCTGTAAATTGGGAATAATAAACCACCTCACTGGGATCTGGGGGATCACATGAGCCAAAGCATTCAGCATCCAGGCCAGTGCCCAGCACGGGAATGCTCCTATCTTGGTAACTGAGGTATCTATACTCCTATTTTCCTTCCTCCACTGTTCTCAGTGCCACCTGCTGGTCTATTATCCTGAGATGCAACACCAGCCTAGACCACACCTGAATTCACTACACTGCTGCAGGAACTGGGTAAAAACTGGGCCCTTGAGAATCCAATTCTTAACCCCAGCTCTGCATAAAGCCAGCTGTTTGCCTTTTCCCACTAGTCATGGTGCTTGCAGGTAAGTCTCCCAGCAGAGGAAAGCTTACAAGATAATGGGATTTGGTATAAAATAGGCTTGACTTCACTCCTACCCAAGAGGTTAATCCATGGATCATAAAGTATTTCAGTAATTTCTTCCTAGCACTTACACTAACTGAAATGACTTTTAAATTTACTTGTTGTCTGGCTTCCTAACTGGAATGCAGATCTTACCAGGGCAGGGACTTCACCTTGTTCAGTACTATATCCCTGGTGCCTATGGCCATGGTTGACACAGCAAGCTCCCCAGCTATCTGGGGGAGAAGGAGGAGTCTCCACAACACCAGTCAGCTTCATTTGTATATTAATAAATTGGTGTGCGGCAAAAATCTTTACCAAAGATTCTGTTGTCAAGAACTAAACCTTGATGGCCACCAATGACCAATTTTCACTTGTGGTTCCAACCAGTCATTCTCAAATATGAACTGCTATGTGGTGGGAAAGCACTAGACAGACAGAACTGGAGTTTTAATTAAAGTTCTGGCACTTTTGTTAATATATAACAGCAATGGTGACTGTGTTCTAAGATTGTGTCTTAGTTCTCTTAGACTGAGAACTAAGAGGCCTGGGTTCTAGCCCTTGCTCTGCTATTAGTATCTCTGCCCAAGGCAGTTCATCCGTCAAACTCAGCAGGTGAGCCACACAGAATGATAGCGGCTGGTCCATGGTAAGTCTCACGGAGCCTCAGTGAAAATACTTCGGGCAAAGAAAAGTTAAAATGAAATGTCATTAAGTTCTTCCCATTTAACAATGTATCCACCCTTTATTCAGAGACTGTGGTTTTTTTTTGGGGGGGGTGGGGGGTTGTTAAGATGTCCTTAATTTTACGAAATGATAGGTTCATTTTGTTTTTGTTTCAAAGGTTGGCAACCCAATTACCTATTCTCCTTTAAAAATGTTGTTTTAATGTTCCTGACCTGTGAAAGAAAACAAAAATGTGGCAGCCACTGTGTAGAAAAATGGGACCCAGCCCTCCCCACCTGTCAAAGTAGGTCAGGGTACTTTCAAGGCCAGTGTAAAGGACAGGGAGGGACTCTACTCCTCCCGAGTCCCTTAAAGCGCTGACAAAGGCAAGAGAGCAAGGGTTGATCTGAGGTACCAGCTGTCAACAGCCACTCTTGTTGCCTGCCAAGCCCACCTTTCCTATTCTTCAAGTCACAACGCTCCTCAATTCCATGTAGCTTGGGCAAGGCTGCTCCGCTCTACTACACCACTGCCCATGGGCAATCCGAGAGCCTCAGCCCCAGCCTATTCTGGAGAGATGGAGCCCTTCTGGGACTTTACTCCAGGGGTGATGTAGAGAGAGATGGCTCACCCTCTCTCTGCCAGCAATTTGGGGTTGAGGTGAAGGTCCCAGGCTGCAGCAGGCACTGGGAGAACACCTGCCTGAGCTTCTGAGCAATAGAGCCACAGTGATATTTTCTGAGTGTCTAGGCCCAGCCATCCCTGAAGATGCATGCCTGGGCTTTTCAAAGTCTATGGCAAGGTTTTGGACTGGACTAACCAACCTCAGAAGAACATACACCTAAACCATCATCAACAAATTATGGCAGCACACAGAAAAACAGAGACCTTGTGAATAGTATGTGACTTGCCCTACCATGAAAAGCATCTGGGATGTGATAGGGCCAACTGATTCTTTATCCAAGCAAGTACAATTCGCCTTTTGGATAAACTCTCCAGTTGGGCCATATTTTTGTATTCTATTTCCTCCATCAGTCCTGTTTCTTTAGTCAAAGATAAAATGCTCTGGAAGAATCATCTTATTATTGTCATGGGGAAGGAGAAGTGTGAACTACATGGAGATTTGTACCAGAGCATCAACCCAGGGGTGAATTAGTCATGATCTGCACAACCTACCAATGGCCTCACTCCCATCCCACCCCTCTGCTTCTGCTTGAATCCTCTGCGCAGCCACACTGTCCTATTCAACACCTTCTAAACATGCTCGCTTGCAGATGCGTTCTTCCACTTAAACCTCCTCACCTTCAGGGGTTGCTGGATGAAATACTGGCTTGGCCAGTTAAATTTTAATTTCAGATACACAATGAATCTCAAATATCTGGCACATATATTTTTATTTGCTAATAAATTTGGCAAACTATCCCTATTCCTCTCGAATTCTACCATCCTTCAGGGTCCAGCCCAAAAGCTGGCTCCTTTATCAAGATGCCAAATTCTTCTGAATCCCTGCAATAACACTGCCCACTGATGTCAGCTGAATACCAAGCACTCTGGGGTCGGCTGTGCTGCTGCCATCAGCCATCTCTCATCTCACTTCTTCCTTGCTACCTCACTCCTTCATCAAGGGTTGACTCTGCACCTACAGAGGCAGAGACTGGCCCCCAGCCCCAGCCCAATGACACAGACACCGTGGTGGCGCTCCAGGGTGTCTGCTGACTTCTGTGGAAGTGGGTATTAATCCTGCGATCTGAAGTCTTATTACAGCCAAGAATAAAGGCAGTTTATCTCTGTAATCTAGTCAATTAGTTAACGGCTCTCTCCACACATCACCCCTACCCCTACCCCTTAGTCATGTCAGATGCTTGGAATAGAGGAAGAAATCACATTAAGTCTCACGGATCAT